CTTAATTTATACAATTGACATTATAAATCAAAAATAGGGCTCTGTAGTGCAGTGGTAGTATCCCTACCTCTGAGCCAGGCAGCCTGGGGTTCAAATCCCACCTGCTTTGCAGCTGTGTAACAACATCATAATTATAACCATTCTATAAAGCTTGCATCTGTCTGCAATTGTCTTGAAAATCTGTTTCCCTACATTTCTAGTTGGTTGCCTACAGACTAAACAAAGTAATGGATCTGTCGTTCCTTCATTCCGTCGTAGATTCTGTGGAGATATCCTACCTCTCTAGCATAGCAATGGTCTCCTTAATTAACACTGCAATTTCTTTTTCCCTTCCTTTTCTGAAAACCTGGTGTTGAAAAATATTTAATATCTAGTTCTTCCTTTCTTTGAATCAGGTCTCTATCATCGCCCAGTATCATTCTTCCATCCAACCACCTACCCGAAATTCCTCAATCTTTCTTACTACGCAGCACATCCCCAATTTAGACTTATTATTTCCACCGCTCTCCCTTATGCTGAATGCACTTACCACCTTACAATTTTCTAATTCTCTGTGCTGTCTTTCCCACCCATTATCGTGTAGACCTTTGTATTCCTTTAATACCAGACCAGTGTCACCGATAGTACTAGAGAATTGCTCCTCAAAGAAGTTGGCCCTGGCTGTATTTACGTGCAAGCAATCTGGGCTACACAGGTCCCAGCGATCCAGGAATCTGAAGCCCTTCCCTCCTGCATCACCTTTTCAGAGATGGATTCATAGACTTTAATCCTTTACTGGTCGTGGTAAGGTGAGTAATCAGGAGACTACTTCTCTTGAGGTCTTTCATTCTAATTTACAACCTAGCTCCCTAAATTGTGACTGCATGGCCACATTGCATTTTCTACATATCACTGGTACTGATTCAGACCACAGCCACTGGATGATCACCAACACCCCTGCCTCCCCCTTTTATAGTGGCATTCAGCCAGTGACACCCTTGACCCTAGCACCAAAGAGACAACATACCGAAACATATCATCCTGGATTCACATCTATGGGTGCACACATGCCAATCTGCTCCCCAGACTAATCAAATCACCTGTCACAATTGCTCTACCAGTCTTTGTCACTCTCACACCCAACCCCACCCCTGTACAGCTTGGCTGCCCATGGTACCATGGACTCGTTTCTAGCTGCACAAACCCTCATTAGGATTCTGTGCTGAATATTGACTGGTTGGAGAGCGAGAAGCACTCAGAGGACCCTTGCACTACCAATCTACTTCGTGTTTCCTGCTCTCCCAGTACACTCTGAAGCTGTGGTGTGACCACATCTATAAACTTCAGAACAGAGAATCAGGAGGAGACCATTCAGCCCTGTAAAGCTTGTTTTACCATTCAATACAATGCAGGCTCATCATCCACTGCTTTTTTCTCACATTACCACCCCCCCACCCCCCTTTACGTCACTGATATTTAGAAATCTGTCACTCGCTACTTTAAACATAACTCAATGGCTGAGTTTCCACAGGCCTGTGCGACGGTGAATTCCATAGATTCACTACCCTGTGAGTAAAAACATTGCTCCTCATCTCAGCCCCAAGTTGCATTCCCTTTATTTTGGAATTGCGTCCTCTGGTACTAGACCTCGCTAACCAGGGAAATCATCTGAACTGCATCTACCCTTCCATGTCTTTCTGTATTTTGGAGCTTTCAATGAGACCACCTCTTATTTTGTTAAACTACAAGCCCAGTTTTCCCAATATCTCTTCAGAGGACAGTCCCACCATCCCAGAATCTATAGAAGGTTGGTGAATGTTCACCTATGGCGATCACCAATGAGTGAGCTCTCCACGTGGCATTCAATTCCATAACTGTGCTGCGGTGACACCAAATGATCCAAAAACCCAAACCTCAAGCTGCTGCAGCTAACGGAACTCTCTGCCCAGATGGTTATCAAGGACAGTTTGAAAAACTCAGAATCCATAAAATGAATCTTTGTTTTAATTTCCAGAGGTAAAAGAGGGACAATAAATGTGTTCATTTTAAATTTGTATTTTCAGGTTTAGTCAAGCTTCTTTGACAACGTGGGTTTCCCGAAAAGTGGCAATGATACAGATTCCCTTGCTATGCATGATGTGGAGTTACTATCCCAGAATCAACAGCTGGATTACATGTATCAGGGAGTTTCCACAGACCACAGGATATACACTCGAGAGGTTGGAAATGGCCTGTCATTCCTCTACATATTAGCTAATAATACTGAATACCTAAAAGAAATAAAGACTCATGAGCTAATTAGTTCAGATTAGGGAAGTTCACTTAAATGTTTCATTGTCTAAAGAAAAAGAAATATTTAATTTCCCAGTTCCTTAGCCTAAGTCACTTACTTTGGAGAAGGGAAACAAAGCTGCAATACTCACCAGCCAATCAACACAATTTCCCATGATGTCATGGTTTGATTTCTCTTCTTCCACTTTTTAAACTAGAGCACCTCGCAGTCTGCTGTCTCCAATCAGGCCTGTACTGTTCTCCCATGCACAGCCTTTCTGCTGTTGCTTCTCTCTCCAATCAGGTCTATGCTCTTCTCCACTACATTTTCTCTTTCATCCTCTGCTGCTAGTTTCATTTGGCGTCATGTTCGGCACAACATTGTGGGCCGAAGGGCCCGTTCCTGTGCTCAATCATAGATCATAGAATCCCTACAGTGTGGAAACAGGCCCTTTAGCCCAACAAGTCCACACCGAACCTCAGAGCATCCCACCCAGACCCATCCCCCTATAACCCACCTAACCAAACACTACGGGCAATTTAGCATGGCCAATCAACCTAACCTGCACATCTTTGGACTGAGGGAGGAAACCGGAGCACCCGGAGGAAACCCACATAGACACGGGGAGAATGTGCAGACTCCACACAGAGAGTCACCCAAGGCTGGGATCGAACCCGGGTTCCTGGCGCTGTGAGGCAGCAGTGCTAACCACTGTGCCACTATGCCACCACTACTGTACAGTTCTATGTTCTATCTCCAATCAGGTTCGTGTCTACAAGTTCTAGATTCCCTTATCTGCACAGAATTTCTCAGCATCTGCCAAATCAAGCGTCCTATCTTTTCCAGTCAGATCACCTCTCATTCTTCTAAACTCCAAGTATATTGGCTCAATCTGCTCAACCTCTCCTCAGGAGATAATCCCTTCATTCCAGGAAATGACTGTAAACATTTCTGAACCGCTCCCAATGCATGCATATGATACATTAAGTAAGAAGATCAAAACATCACACAGCACTCCAGGTGCAGTCTCTTCAATATCCTGTATAATTCCCTAGTTTTATATTCCACCCACCTAGCAACAGAGACCAACTTTCCATTTGCATTTCTAATTATTCACTGTACTCACTTGTTAACTTTTTGTGATTCATGTACAAGGACTCCCAGTCTCACAGCATTCTACAATCACACTCCATTTAAATGCTGCTCTGCTTTCTATTCTTGCTGTCAAAGTGGAAAACCTCATTTTCCCACATTATACTCCACCTGCCAATTTTTTGCCCATTCTCTTAACATACCTTTGCAAACTCTTTGTATCCTCAAGAATTCACTTTGTACCTATCTTTGTATCGCCTGTACATTTGGTTGCTATACAGTTGGGCCCTTCTTCCAAGTCATTGATTTAGATTATAAATGGCTGAGGCTCAGCACTAGATGGCTGTGGCACTCCAGTAGTCAGTCTGGCAAACTGAAAATGACTGGTATATATTAATTCTGTTTCCTTTTATTAACTAAGCCTCTGTCCATGCTAATAAATCACATTCAACAACATGAGGGTTCAGGTACATAATTCTCTGAAAGTTGCATCACAGGTACACAGGGATGAGGAGGTGTTTAGCATGTTTGCCTTCATTGCTCAGACCATTGAGTATAGAAGTTACGATGTTATGTCGCTGTTGTACAGAACATTGGTGAGGCCACTTTTAGAGTACTATGTGCAGTTCTGGTCACCCTGCTATACGAAGGATATTATTAAATTAAAGATGGTGCAGAAAAGATTTATAAGGATGTTGCCAGGACTGGAGGGTTTGAGTTATAAAGAGGGGCTGGATTGTCTGGGACTTTTTCCACTGGAATGAAGGAGGTAGAGAGGTGACCATATAGAGCTTTATAAAATCATGAGGAGCATAGATAAGGTGAATAGCAAAGGTATTTTCCCTAGGGTGGGGGAGTTCAAAACTAGACATCATATTTTTAAGATGAGAGGAGAAAGATTTAAAAGGGACCTGAGGGGCAACTTGTTCACACAGAGAGTAATTCATGTGTGGAATGAACTACCAGAGGAAATGGTGGATGCAGGTACAATTACAACATTTAAAAAACATTTGGACAGGTACATAAATTGGAAATATTTAGAAGGACTAAACACAAGCAAGTGGGACTAGTTTAGTTTGAGAAACTCGGTCAGCATGGATGAGTTGGATTGAAGGATCTATTTCTGTGCTGTATGACGCTGGATCTTGCTGTGCAGTAACCTTTAATCTGGCACCTAACCTGCCTTTTGGAAATCCAAAAAGATGGCATCTACTGGCTCCTCTTTATCTAGGCAACTTTTTAAAAGCCTCAAAGAACTCTAATAAATTTCTCATGTTGCGTGGACGTACATGATTGCTTGCCTGTGGTAGTGAGAATCACAATGTTACTGCATAATGGAGGGGTGCAAGGGGTTAATAAGCTTTCTTCAGCTATTTCTGATGTTTTCATCCCAGTGAGAATTGGGAAGTGAGGAGAAGAAAGAAGAAAACCGGAACTGAAAGAACATAAACTATAAATAGAATGTAAAACTTACACTGACTGCTGGAATGTCAATCACTTAATGTTGGCAGTGCTACTCTGTAAAGTCTTTCCCAGCTGTATGTTCAAGCACCATTTATGCCAAATCACAGGTTGGGAAAAGCAATCAAGAATCAGAAATTACCGAGGTCACACAAAGCAGGAATTTCACTGTATGTCAGAGTTCAGACTTGCTTACACAAAACACTGAAAGGTTCGAGTCTATCTCAAATTCTGGTGTATGGCAGTGCAAAATGATTACCTGCAGCCCTGCTGCTGTTATTCTACGATAAAATTCATCATCCTCACGGCCCCATCCCCAAAACCGGTTTGACATTCCATTACACTGTAAAAGAACAAACAGAAATTACACAGATTCCAAAATAAAGAAACACGCCACTTCAGATGATACATCAATACCAGAGCTTCCACAAGTACGTGCTTCCTCACAACTTACTTCAAGTCACCCCATAATAAATCCTTCCATTCTCTTGTCCTTTATTTGTTTTTCTCTCATAGTATACATTAATCATTTCAACATTTCATCTGGTAGCCAGTTTCACAGTCTTGTTAATATCTGAGTATAGAAGTTTCTCCTGTATTCCCTATTCAAATTATAATTATTGAAAAGCAGCTGCGATCTGAATATGTTGGGCAGGGAACTAATCACAAGAAATTTAGTCAATAATAAAAGAAACATGTTACACTAAATGCACACTGAAGCTTAGATAATAATGTAAAGAGGGCATTTATGAATGTGTCTTTTCAATCTAACACTCATCGCTTCAATATAACACATCCCAGGGACTGTTTTTAAAGGATGCAATTTGGTGACTAATGATGGAGATAAAATATGAGAGTGAAACTGTACTGGATTGAAAGGCCTATGCCCCAAACATATACTATTGTTTTTAAGAGGCGAGGGTCCAGTAAGTTTTATGATCGCTAAGCCCTATGATTACTAAAGGAAACAACTTAGTGTGGTTACAAAAAAACAGAAGTTGCTGGAAAAGCTCAGCAGGTCTGGCAGCATCTGTGAAGAAAATAAATCAGAGTTAACGCTTCAGATCCAGTGACCTTAGCCTTGACTAACTGGTAGTGCACCCTTGCCTCTCGTTTGTGGGTTCAAGTTCCACTCCAGAAACATAACCTCTGTTGATATTTCAACAATATAATGAAGCAGTATTTCAGTATCAGAGCTGCTGATGTTTAACAACACTGTCTTCCACCTCAGGCAGGGGTAAAAAACTATAGTGACCAAAGAGAAGTAGTTATACTTCACATAGAGTTACAACAGAATATCTTGCCAGTAATTTCCTGGGACCTTGCTGAGTATAAATTGGCTGCTGTGTTTCCCTTCATTGAAACAGTGACTACACTTAAAAAGTACTTCACTGGCTCCAAAGCAATTTGGGACATTCTAAAAATAAAATTATTTTTCTTTTCTTACTGATACCTGCAGGATAGTTCCTAAACTGAGGATTCATTGTGTACCAGTCAGTCTTTCATTTCTAGCTCCACCACAGTGCCAAGTGATTGTAATATTCCTCACAGTGGCAGTAATTACTAAGTTAACTATCTAACACCAGTCCCTACTGATCCATTGAACCAACAGTACCTCACAGTTATGGTCTCAGAGTAATATTATTACCCACCAGTTCAAAATGCTGCTTAGTCAGGAGGAGTATCCCTCCTACATAGCTACTGTAATGGTAGAGAGGATGAAGGTCTGGGGAAGCCACATGAAATGGCCCTTTTTCAGGATAGCCATAATCCAGCTGGTCATTCTGGGGTAATAGGTCCACGTCGTGCATAGCGAGGTAATCTGTATCATTGCCACTCTCCAGGAAGCCCACGTTTATCAAAGAAGCTCGATTAAACCTGAAGATACAAATTGAGATGAACACAGATATTCAGGGTCCCTCTCTTACCTTTTAAAAAAGGATCCTTTCTATAGATTCTAAGTTTTAAAAAAACTGATCACTGATTTGAAGTCAATGGCTGAATACAGTTAACTAGTCAGTTACTTCATTGAAGCCAGTTTCCTTTTTGTGAGATACCATTAAAAAAAGTACACACAGAGGACAGCCTTGTGTATGAGAATCAGAGCAATCAATTCATGGGCTGCCA